TGTACAGGAGCAACCGGCTTGTGCCCCCCCCCCATTACCCTGATGCAGGAGATGTGCTGTAGCAGTGGCGAGTCCTGCCAGCACCTAAAATAACTGCCCCCCTCCGCCATGCCCGCGGACATGGGCCCCAGCCCCAACACGGGTGCTTTGTTTCAAAGCCGCTTGGCATCGCCCAGCTTGCCGGGAGCCAGCGGTGCCGCAGCCGCCCACCCGTGCCCAGACACACGGCGATTGTCCTCCTCCCCGCACCACGCTGGCACCGCGGGGTCCCAGCCACCCCCGTCCCCCAGGCACAGGGTCCATGGGGAGCCCTGGGGTGCTCAGGGGGGACAGGGTGCAACGGCATCGTGCATTGGGCATCACGCCGTGGTTCGCATCAGGCTGGTGGTCCCCATCAGGGAGGCTGCCTCAGTTTCCCCTGGGGCTTTGTGCACGGGCAGGGGGAAGGGAGGAGGAGGAAGAGGAAGGCTCGCACAGCCTGCGAGACCACTCAGGCCACCTCTGCCCCCCCACCCTGTGTGCTACCACCCCAGCAAGCACCTGCAAACTGAACCCCATCCCACAGCCACGCTCCCCACACTTTTCCACTTCCCCCTGATATCCATCCAGCTCCTGGCTTTGTGAAGGTGCGGTGCCGGCTCCAGCCAAGGGCCACACGCAGGCCAGGTTGAAGGCAGCTGCCTGCAGGCTCAGGCAGACATGTGGTGGCAGGTCCCTTTGGGGAGCTCCTGGAAGGGGTGCAGGATGCTGGTGGGGCCCTGGGTACCATGGGGCCGTGCAAGCCTCCTCCACTGCAGGAGGGCATAGTGCTGCCCCTGCCTCAGTATCCCCTCTTCCCAGCCATGGTGCTTTTTGGGCTGCAGATTTCGGGGGAGGGGGTTAGTTGGGGCCTCCCCCCTTTCTGGAGACCACTGTGTCCTGCAGGCTCAGCTTGCCCTCCCGCCATGGCATCACCGGATGGAGCCAGTGGCATGGGCGGCAGCCCCGAGGAGACAGAGCTCAGCATCACCCTGACCCTCCGCATGCTCATGCACGGCAAGGTAATGGTGGGGGGGCTTGGCGCTGCTCAGGGGGGTCAGCAATGCCCGGGGTGGGGGCCATACTGGAGCACCATCTCCTCGCCGTGCCCTGTTTTCCTCCCCTGCTCGCAATCCCACCAGGAACAGCATTCCCAGAAGGATTTCTTCCCCCATCCTAAGCCAGGGAGGGGCCCATTCCCATGCCCTAGTGTCACCAGCAAGCCACCCAGTGTCCCAATGGCCACGGGGCAGGGCCTGCCTGTATTGCCCGTTGGCCAGGCTGTGGGCAGAGGAGGGATGTGGCAGGCAGGGAGCTGCTTGCTGACGGGGCCACTCTCATCTCTGCCTTTGCAGGAGATCGGCAGCATCATCGGCAAGGTAAGATTTGGGGTCCGGGGCACCGCCAGCCCCAGGCTCCCCTGGACCTGACCACCTGCCCTGTTCCTCTCCCCGCAGAAAGGAGAGACTGTTAAGAGGATACGAGAGCAGGTAAGGGCGTGCTGGGGGGCTGCCGAGTCCTGCTGCCTGTCCTGCCTGCACCTGGTCGCTCCCACATGCCGAGCCCTGGCCACCCCCATTCCCAGGTGGACCCAGGGGAGACAGGGCTGCACCCCAGGGAAGGCTGCCTGGGGCAGGTGGGAGGGGGAAAGCCCAGGTCCACAGGCATCGGGGCCACTCACAATGAGCCATTCCCTGGGCGGGGGGACATCGAGCTCAGGGCCCGCGATGTCCCTAACGGGGTGTGACACCATCCCCAGAGCAGCGCGCGCATCACCATCTCGGAGGGGTCCTGCCCCGAGCGCATCACCACCATCACCGGCTCCACTGACGCCGTTTTCCGCGCCGTCTCCATGATTGCCTTCAAGCTGGAGGAGGTAGGCAGCCCCACCCCCACCCCTGCCAGGTGCCCCCTGAGCCGGGAGCGCTCGCTCCATGCTGGTGGCCTCATGGGGGTCCAACGCCACAACTCCCCACCCGCCTCGCAGGACCTGGGAGCAGGGAGCGATGGGGCAGCAATGGGCAGAGCGCCGGTGACGCTGCGCCTCGTCATCCCAGCCAGCCAGTGCGGCTCGCTCATCGGCAAGGCAGGAGCTAAGATCCGGGAGATTCGGGAGGTGAGGCTGAGGGTATGGGTTCCCCTTTTCCCCTGGGGGACACGGAGCCCTCGGCGTGGGGGCTGCCATGGTCCTGTGGGAGCTGTGGGAGGTGATGCAGGTGACGCAGGAGTGGAGCATCACCCTGTGCGTCCTGCAAAGGTCCCCAGGGGCCAAGGAGGGAATAGGGGAGGTGTGAGGTACTGAGCCCCGGGGTGGGTATGGCTGAGGCACCCCAGCATCTCCCTTTGCTCCCCACAGAGCACGGGGGCGCAGGTGCAGGTGGCCGGCGACCTGCTGCCCAACTCCACCGAACGGGCCGTCACTGTCTCGGGGGTGCCAGACACCATCATCCAGTGCGTGAGGCAGATCTGCGCCGTCATCCTGGAGGTACCCGCTGACCCCCGTGCCCAGCCCGGGGGGGCACGCACTGCACACTGCCTGTCCCCCCTCCCCAGGGCTCCCTGTGCCCACGTGGACCCAGGCACTGGGGTCCCCCTGTGCTGAAGCCCATAAGAGCACCCTGCCTCGGCAGTGCTGGGAGCCATGCCCAGCTTGTTGGGGGCGGAGGGGGGCAAAGTGGGTCCAAGGGGCTGCAGGGGCATTCAACCTCATCTCTCATCCCCTCCGCCTCCTTCCCTCCCTCTCCAGTCGCCTCCGAAGGGGGCCACCATCCCCTACCACCCTGGCCTCTCCCTGGGCACCATCCTGCTCTCTGCCAACCAGGTAAGGGGCCACAGCCCCCTCGGGGGCATGGGGTGCCTGGGGGGCCCAGCCTCTGCTGGCGAGGGGTGACTGGTGGGCGAGGGGTGGCCTCCCTGCCCCGGGGGGGGGTTGGCCTGAGGCAGGTGTCCCCACCTGGCCCCCCACTGATGCCCCTTCCTTCCTCCCCAGGGCTTCTCCATGCAGGGCCAGTACAGCGGGGTGTCTCCCGCGGAGGTGAGTCTGTCCCCGTGGCAGCCAACCCCTGCTCCCATGGGCACCGGGTCTGTGCCCACCGGGATGGGCGCTTCCGGGGATGCCTGTCCTGGGAGTTGCTGGGTGCCAGCATCCAGCCCCAGGAGGGGACAGGGGACCCTCTGCCATCACACCTAACACCTCCTTCCTCCTCCTCCTCCCGCTGCCCGGGCAGGTGACGAAGCTGCAGCAGCTGTCAGGGCACACGCTCCCCTTCGCCTCCCTGGGCCACGCACCCTCCATGGTGCCAGGTGAGCATCTCCTGTGCGCCCCCCCCCCAGGGCTGGGCATGTGGGGTGCCCCTCCTGACCCACCCAGCCACCTGGCCCTGATGAGGGGGTCCCCATCCCCTGCACCCTCTCTGGTCCTGGCCCACCCAGCGTGGCTACCTGCCCCCCAGAACAACCCTGTCCTTCATTTTCTGGGGTCCCTGCACCCACCAGAGCCCCCCAACCCTGCAGTGGGGGAGCACCGGCACCAGATTACAACTGGTGCCCATGTCCTGTCCTCCTTGCCTCTCCCCAGGGATCCTTCAGGTTTGTCCCCAGGGCCACTGACTGTCCCAGCACGGGGCTGGGGTGGGGGCATGGTGCTGCTGGAGACCCACCCCCCCACCACTAACATCCCTGTCTCTCCCTCCAGGCCTGGACACAAGCTCCCAGAGCAGCTCCCAGGAGTTCCTGGTGCCCAACGATGTATGTGTGGGTCCCGGGGATGGCAAGGGAGACCACAGCTTGCCCCCACCCATGTGTCCCACCCTGTAGCCGCTTTGCAGGGGCCAGCACCCACCGCCCTACACAGTTGGAGGCTCTGCCTCAGCCCCCAGAGCTCAGGAGCAGGAGGGGCTGCTGGGGTAGAAGCAGCTGGAAGAAAAGGCACAGGAGGGAGAAAGGGCTTGGCCAACGCCAAGGAAGAGCCTTGGGATGTGGCAGCCCAGCGATGCCAGCCGGAGGGGGGGGCTTGAGTGAGACCAAAAAGCAGGGTCTGCTCAAGGAAAGCAGCGCCCTGCCCTCCCGGTGCCTGCCTCAGTTTCCCCACTCCTCCTAGGCGTAGGGTATGGCTGGGTGAGCCTTTGGGAGCTCCCTGCTTGGCATGGCTCCTCCGGCTGCTCCCAGCTCACCCCAGTCCCCGCCCCTCCAGCTCATCGGCTGCATCATCGGCCGGCACGGCAGCAAGATCAGCGAGATCCGGCAGATGTCAGGCGCCCACATCAAGATCGGGAACCAGACCGAGGGCTCCAGTGAGCGGCACGTGACCATCACAGGGTCCCCCGTCAGCATCACCCTGGCTCAGTACCTCATGACAGCCTGGTAGGTGCCAGCCTGGGGGGGGACATGCTGGCTGCTAGTGAGGGGTGGCAACTCCCCAGCACCTCAACACAGCTTGTGGGGGACACCACCCCCAGCATCCTCAGGAAGGATGAGATGGGTGGTGCTTTGAGGTCCTGAGATGGTGGGTGCGGGACCCGGGACCCCACTGGGATTGAGCCCCAGCTAAAAAGCCCAGTGGGATGCCCAGGATGTGCCATGGAGACCTGTGCCTCAAGGGATGTGGCACGCAGTCCCTGCACCCTAAGACAGGCAGGTCGGGGTGGGGGACCTGCTCTGTCACCGTGGTACTCACCACCCCACCTTTCTCACTCACTTCCCCAGCTTAGAGACGGCCAAATCTACCTCCCAGGTGCCGCCGGGCCCTGGCTCCGTGGACCTCGGCGTGGGCTTCTCCCAGCCCCTCACCCCGGGCTCCGGCGCGGCACTGCCCGCCGTCACCCCAGCCCCTCCGGCCCTGCTGGGCACCCCCTACACCATCTCCCTCTCCAACTTCATTGGTCTGAAGCCGGTGTCCTTCCTGGCGCTGTCCCCGTCCTCCGTGGCGGGGCCCAACGGCGGGGCTGCCGCCCCCCTACACGACCAAGATCTCGGCAGCCAACGGCACCAAGAAAGCCGACCGGCAGAAGTTCTCACCCTACTGAGCCCTGCTGGTGGGTGGGTGAGGGGATCTGGGGTGCCACTTGGTGCCAGGGACACATCCCTGTCAACCCACCCTGTCCCCCAGCCCCTGCCAGGCGCCCCGTGCCTGGGGAGGACCCCCCTTGCCCCCCACCCCAGAGAAGGGAAGGGTCTTCCCAGTGGCAATGTCCGTTGGAGAAAAGGGCTGCTCTGCTGCCTGCTGCCCGTCCTGGCAGCGCTGTGCCCCCCTCTCCAATTTTCCTGCACGGGGACCGTGTGCCCTGGTATGGGGCAGGGGGGCTGTCCCTGCCGGCCCGGGGTCCCTTCTTCCAGTGCCCTGTGCCGGGGTGGGACCTCCGCCTCCTGCCCCTTGCCCTGCCCACCCTGCTGTCCCGCTCCTGCCCACCCTCCCAGACGAGGGGCTGCCTGGCCTCTCCGGGGGTCCCCCGTCTCCTGGCTCTGGTGGGGGGCCCTCACCGGGCCACCTCGGGGCAATCGCCTCCCAGCAACCCCATCCAAGAGCCAGTCCCTGCTGGCTTGGAAATGCTGTATATATAAGTCTATATTTTTTCCTCCTTTGTAACTTATCAATGGTTTAATAAAAAGATAAAATTTACAAGAAAAAAATAATAATAATATCCCCTACCCTGGGTGGAGACACCCCCTCACACCAGGGGCAGCCCCAGCTCCTGGGGACACGGGGTGGTGGCTGGAGAGGCATCCCTGTGGCCAGGGGGGTGCTGGCCCTCAGCCCCAGTATCTCTGGGGGTCTTCCCGGAGCCCACTCCCTGCCATGGGGCAGTTTTCCCCCAGCCCCCCAAGTTATTACTGGGGCAGGGGGGGCCCTTTGCCGGGGGGGGGGGCTGGGGGTGATGTACCCCTCCAGTGTCCCCTCAGCAGGGTCCAGTCCCCTTGCTTGCACTGGGGGCTGCATGGGAGGGTCCCCAGGCCCTGCAGAAGCAACGAGACCGAAGGGGAACGGTGGCTCCCGGTCCCCTTCGGCTGCTGCTGCCCAGGGACACCCCGCACAGCCCCCCCTGCCACCACCCTGTGCTGCCGCGTCCACCCCAGCGCACCCCTGGCCAGCAGCCTGGTTTGGCTGGCACATGGCAGCACTGGCTGGGCTTCAGCTGGGCAGCTGTGTCCATAAACAGCCCAGCATGGAGCCCCGGCCAGCCAACATCCTGCCCTGGAGGGGCAGCCCCTGCCAGCTGGGGGGGACAGAGGGCACGGCTGGGCATGGCCATGGGCATTGCATGCTGCCACGCCAGCAGGAAAAACAGACGCAGCCAGAGCCAGCCCCACGGGTGCCATCCCCCTGATAAGTACCACGGGTGACAGGAGCTCCTCCACCCAGACGTTAGTTTTGGGTTAAACAGCCAAGGGTGGAGGGCTCCGTGTCGGCCGTCCAGGCTCAGCGGGGTGCTTGGGGCCCCGGTGTTACTGGTGTTAGTGGTGTTAGCTGGGCCATTGCTCCTGGGTAGGGTGCAAGGGACCTCTGCTCTTCCCCGCTGGCCATGAGCGGTCCCAGCAGGGTGACAGAGATGGAGGTGCCCCCTCCTCTGCCCCCGCGTAGGAGCCCCTTGGCTTCCCATGTCCCAAGGAGAGCCCGTCCATGCAACTGGGCTGTGCTGGTGGAGCCAGAGACGATCCCAGCCTGCAGAAGGGAGATGAGGCTTCCCCAGATCTGCTGTCTTCTCCGGGCAGAGAAACCATCTTCCACCACAAGCTCAGAGAAGAGGTCCTGAACAAGGACCCCTCCAAATCCAAAAGGCTGGGTCCAAGCAGGTCCGATGGGTCCCTGGCAGGTCCCCTGCCCACCCTCCTGCCCAGCACGGTGGGACAGGGCCCCCTGTTTTTCAGCTGCTCTCTTCAGGAACTTGACCTGGGATGGGGAAGCCCATCTTAGTCTGGTCCAGCCTGTTCCTGGGGCTGGGGCTGATGCAGCTGGCGTGGGTCTCCAGCGTGCAAGTCGCTCTCTGGAGGAACTGCAAGAAGTTTTCCGGGACAGAGGCCTCCGAGACAGAAAGACAGAGCTCCTGGCCCAGCGGCCGGTTGAGGCAGCTGCGCCGGAGCCGGGCCAGCTCCTCCCGGATCTGGCGGTTCAGCAGCCCGTAGAAGAAGGGATTGATGGCGAAGGAAGAGTAGGCAATCCAGGTGACCACCATCTCCCCGTGCCCGCCGCCCACCGTGCCAGCGGTGACAGAGGAGTGCAAGTGGAAAGCAAAGAAGGGCAGCCAGCAGCACAAGAACTGTCCCACAATAAGGACCAAGGTGAGGATGGCCTTGTAGCTTCCCAAAAAGCGCTCTGGCGTCAGCCTGGGCAGCGGCAGGTTCCTGGTGGTGATGATGGTCACTTGGCTGGCAATGGAGTCGGATCGGTGTCTCGGCGCAGCTACCTGTGCTGGCACGGGCACGTGCTGCAGGGATGCCATCCGGGCCACACGGTAGACACTGCAGTAGACAGCGAAGATGATGATGGTGGGCAGGACAAAGCAGACGATGCTGAAGATGATCACAAAAATCTTCTTGTGGGCCCCAGGGCTCCAGTAGACTGTGCAGCGGCTGGCACTGGTGGCCCCATTGCCTTGAGGCCAGCCCACTAGTGCCAAGACAGTGATGAGAACAGACTTGACCCAAATGAAGATCACTCCGGCCACTGCCAGCCTGATGGTCATCTTGACCTCATACCTCATGGGGTGGACGATGTAGTAGTACCGCTCCACGCTGATGATAGAGATAGTGAGGATGGAGGCACTGATGAAGCAGACATTCAGGAATATCAAGGCCTGGCACTCAGCAATGCTGTAGATCACCCTGTTGAAGCAGGAGGAGCTGGAGATGATCCCCAGGGGCATGAGGAAAATGGCAGAGAGGAGGTCGACCACACAGAGATGGCAGACGAAGATGAACTTCCTGAGAAGGGGGGTTTTGAGAATGACGACCATCACCACAGTGTTGGCCACCAAGGCGGTGAGGGTGAGGAGGACCATGCAGAGGAGGCCCACCACCTCCTGGGCAATGGACTGCTCGGAGACGGAGAGTGGCTCTAGGCTGTCCGTGGTGTTCAGCCCCGTTCGGCTCGCCATCCCTCCCAAGGGCTAAGCCAGCAGCTCCGGTGCCTGGGCAGCAAGGGCTCTGCTCCTGCATCCCTTAGAGAGAAAGCCCATCACAACCACGGCCACTGTCTTCTCCTTGCCTGTTGGGGAGGGGAGCGGGGTGTGAAGGAGAAGGACCAAAAATGAGGAAGAGCCACAGAGAAACCCGGAGACGACCTGAACCCCCCCGAGATGCTGGAGCAGGGAGACATGCCTGGCGAGGTCACGGCACCCTGCCTAGCCCAGGGCTGGCGTCCCCAACCTGGCCAGGGATGGCACTGCCAGGACCTGCATCACCCGGGCCAGGCTGACACCCTGCCCCCCTGCCCCAGCCACACCACCTCGCCCCTAGGAGGCAAAGCATGAACCTGCCTGCCCCATCCATGCTCCTTGCTCCACCTGGGTGGGTGGGGGGGACCCAGCGCACCTTTGCTCCTGGGGAGGTGGGTGATGCTCCCCTCCTCGCCGGGGGTCCTTCTTGCCAGCGTCGCTTCCGCAGCAGAACAGGGGCTGCCGGCCCCCGCGCAAGGCCACGCTCCCCCTTTCCCGCGCCCCGTCACCCGCTCGTCATCCTGTTTGCCTGCAGCCCGCCAGCTGCGGATGGCACCAGCTGTCACTCCCCGGCGCT